ATATATATATACACATATACAGGGTGTCTCTGTGATGGAGCCACATTGGGGGCGAAGAATGGATCAAAGGGAACAAAAAATCTTATACTATTTTGAGATAAATTGTAGTTTTTCGAATTAGAAAAGGAAACATCTAAGCCAATATGCGGTTAAGCCGTGCCGCGCGAATTCGTAGGATGACCCCACACTCGAGTGGCGGCAGCTGCGGCGCACAGGGAGAGGGAAGTAGCTTCGTTGCTTAGCACAGCCTGGCATGGTCCTATGTGTTTCGCCGCATTGCTCCTACACTATCCAAAAATGTTATTTTAGAAATTTTTCTTATCATTATAAATCACGTTATTTAGCACATTAAATACGTTTTAACACAATTATAGATATGTTAAGCGATGTACAATAATTAATTAGAGCATTACGCAAAGCGTATGCTGATTGCGATATCTTTTCGCTTGCTTTATTATACGACGTCATTCTATTTTCTAAAAATTTTTTTCTATCTCTTATAGTTCCAGCGACATTCGCTTCGAAAGAGAAACACCGATTTTTCTAATGATATTCGCTACAAAAGAGAAAAATCCCCAATTTTCCCAATTTTTTTCCAAGGAGTGTTTTACCCTTTAAAAGTGCATATGGGCACGTATAAAAAAATACATGTCGCTTATTTTTGTCTGAAAAATAACATGCTCATTAAAATCGGAGGGGGACAGTTGAGTCCCTTTCCTTGTAAGTTATAGATTTTTTTAATGTAATGAACATGGGCATTAAATTTGATAGTTTAATGAAAATAAATTAAAACACTCAATTTTCAATTAGTGTTTTTCAATACATTTAAGTTTTTCAGTTATTATAAACATCTTATTATATTAACTTAAACATCTCATTAACGTAAATAATCTTTTCAGTCACAGAAAATTTAAATTTTATTCATCAGCGAACATTAATAAAATTTAAGAACGTTTTTAATGAAATATACAAACTTATTAAACAGCAAGAAACATGTGAAAAAAAATCTCAATCAAATGCATCATTATACATATATGGAAAAATAATACATCTGGATTTATAATGTAGCGACTATCTACGCGAGTTTATGTTATAATTTCAAGTATACACGTATTAACATGTCAAAAAATAAAACTCGACCGACTAAATAGAGCATAAAACGACGCGAATAGCTCCGAAGTGTGTCTTGAAGCGTAATTAAATAAAAACATCGAATAATAAAGCAAGCGGAAAGTTATCGCGACGATCAGCATATGCTTTGCGTAATGTATGCTCTATTATAATTAATTACATCGCTTAACATATCTATAATTTATTAAAATGTATTTAATCGTGCTAAATAACGTGATTGATAAGAAAAATTTCACTAAAATAACATTTTTGGATTGGAATGGGCCACATTGGGGGCGCGATGTGGCGAAATACATAGGATCGCCATGCCAGGCTGTGCTAGGCAAGCACTACTTCCCTCTCCCTGCGCGCCGCCGCTCGAGTGTTGGTCGAATTTGCGCGGCGCGGCTTAACCGCATATTGGTTTAGACGTTTCCTTTTCTAATTCGAAAACTACAGCGAGTATCTCAAAATAGTATAAGAATTTTTTGCTCCCTTTGATCCATTCTCCGCCCCCAATGTGGCTCCGATCCATCTTA